ACTAGAGAGGGGTTGTGGTGTAGTTGTACTAGAGAGGGTTGTGGTGTAGTTGTACTAGAGAGGGTTGTGGTGTAGTTGTACTAGAGAGGGGTTGTGGCGTAGTTGTACTAGAGAGGGTTGTGGTGTAGTTGTACTAGAGAGGGTTGTGGCGTAGTTGTACTAGAGAGGGTTGTGACGTAGTTGTACTAGAGAGGGTTGTGACGTAGTTGTACTAGAGAGGGTTGTGGTGTAGTTGTACTAGAGAGGGTTGTGGCATAGTTGTACTAGAGAGGGTTGTGGTGTAGTTGTACTAGAGAGGGTTGTGACGTAGTTGTACTAGAGAGGGTTGTGACGTAGTTGTACTAGAGAGGGGTTGTGGCGTAGTTGTACTAGAGAGGGGTTGTGGCGTAGTTGTACTAGAGAGGGTTGTGGTGTAGTTGTACTAGAGAGGGTTGTGGCGTAGTTGTACTAGAGAGGGTTGTGACGTGGTTGTACTAGAGAGGGTTGTGACGTAGTTGTACTAGAGAGGGTTGTGGTGTAGTTGTACTAGAGAGGGGTTGTGGCGTAGTTGTACTAGAGAGGGGTTGTGGCGTGGTTGTACTAGAGAGGGGTTGTGGCGTAGTTGTACTAGAGAGGGGTTGTGACGTAGTTGTACTAGAGAGGGGTTGTGGTGTAGTTGTACTAGAGAGGGTTGTGGCGTAGTTGTACTAGAGAGGGTTGTGACGTAGTTGTACTAGAGAGGGGTTGTGGCGTAGTTGTACTAGAGAGGGTTGTGGCGTAGTTGTACTAGAGAGGGGTTGTGGCGTAGTTGTACTAGAGAGGGGTTGTGGCGTAGTTGTACTAGAGAGGGGTTGTGACGTGGTTGTACTAGAGAGGGTTGTGACGTAGTTGTACTAGAGAGGGTTGTGGTGTAGTTGTACTAGAGAGGGTTGTGGCGTAGTTGTACTAGAGAGGGTTGTGACGTGGTTGTACTAGAGAGGGTTGTGGCGTAGTTGTACTAGAGAGGGTTGTGACGTAGTTGTACTAGAGAGGGTTGTGGCGTAGTTGTACTAGAGAGGGTTGTGGCGTAGTTGTACTAGAGAGGGTTGTGGCGTAGTTGTACTAGAGAGGGTTGTGGTGTAGTTGTACTAGAGAGGGTTGTGGCGTAGTTGTACTAGAGAGGGTTGTGGCGTAGTTGTACTAGAGAGGGTTGTGGTGTAGTTGTACTAGAGAGGGTTGTGGTGTAGTTGTACTAGAGAGGGTTGTGGTGTAGTTGTACTAGAGAGGGTTGTGGTGTAGTTGTACTAGAGAGGGTTGTGGTGTAGTTGTACTAGAGAGGGTTGTGGCGTAGTTGTACTAGAGAGGGTTGTGACGTGGTTGTACTAGAGAGGGGTTGTGGTGTAGTTGTACTAGAGAGGGTTGTGGCGTAGTTGTACTAGAGAGGGTTGTGACGTAGTTGTACTAGAGAGGGGTTGTGACGTGGTTGTACTAGAGAGGGTTGTGACGTAGTTGTACTAGAGAGGGTTGTGACGTGGTTGTACTAGAGAGGGGTTGTGACGTGGTTGTACTAGAGAGGGTTGTGGCGTAGTTGTACTAGAGAGGGTTGTGACGTGGTTGTACTAGAGAGGGTTGTGACGTGGTTGTACTAGAGAGGGTTGTGGCGTAGTTGTACTAGAGAGGGTTGTGGCGTAGTTGTACTAGAGAGGGTTGTGACGTGGTTGTACTAGAGAGGGTTGTGGCGTAGTTGTACTAGAGAGGGGTTGTGACGTGGTTGTACTAGAGAGGGTTGTGGCGTAGTTGTACTAGAGAGGGTTGTGGCGTAGTTGTACTAGAGAGGGTTGTGACGTGGTTGTACTAGAGAGGGTTGTGACGTGGTTGTACTAGAGAGGGTTGTGGCGTAGTTGTACTAGAGAGGGTTGTGGTGTAGTTGTACTAGAGAGGGTTGTGGCGTAGTTGTACTAGAGAGGGTTGTGGTGTAGTTGTACTAGAGAGGGTTGTGGTGTAGTTGTACTAGAGAGGGTTGTGGCGTAGTTGTACTAGAGAGGGTTGTGGTGTAGTTGTACTAGAGAGGGGTTGTGGCGTAGTTGTACTAGAGAGGGTTGTGGTGTAGTTGTACTAGAGAGGGTTGTGGTGTAGTTGTACTAGAGAGGGGTTGTGGCGTAGTTGTACTAGAGAGGGTTGTGGTGTAGTTGTACTAGAGAGGGTTGTGGTGTAGTTGTACTAGAGAGGGTTGTGACGTGGTTGTACTAGAGAGGGTTGTGACGTAGTTGTACTAGAGAGGGTTGTGGCGTAGTTGTTTATATTCTTCCAAACTTATTCATACATGTCTATCCTACGCTTGAATCAACCCAGTGATTCTACGTCTATTATGGTACCCGGTAATTTATTCTACAAATGAATATAGACCTATTTCCGGACCAGTATTTACCCAGGTCGTTCGTAAATCTAAACTTATTCAATTGACATCCACTATTTAATTTTCTGAACTAGCTCGTGAAAACGTGGACTCTGAACCCATTAAAAAAGTATTCAGGCTTGTAATAAAGCGTCCAACTATTGCAGTATTGACTGTTGTGTGGCGGTAAGCACACGCGGCTCGCGAGCGAGAGCTCGGGGTTCCGATCCTAGGTAAGGACGGTTCGTCCTAGCACGGTTCGTGCGTCCTAGCACACTGAGCCCGGTTCGTCCTAGTGCACCCAATAGTATTTGAGGGACCTGGATGTAAGCCAATCACTGGATCGTGTTCTGGATGCGACATGATACGGAATAATCTGAGTGGTTCAGTCACCTCGTGTGGGACCTAATTCCAAACACCAACAGGACTGTCTTAAAGCTAGGGGATGATGATGAGTATTTTTGCTTCTTGTTTCGTTGCAAGAACCTTGCTTCTTGTATTTCTCTTTCAGTTCGTAGTTCTAATATGTCTCCTCGTATTGTTCCTTCCTTGCCCCCGTGGAGGGTCCCCCTTCCAAAATTTTGAACATCCTTGACCCGCATCACTACAGCTTTTACTCCTCCTACGGTTCTGAAACGCCTTTTCCTTGAGCACTTTTCTTCTCACTCCCGCTCCGTTTCCATCTTCACCGATGGGTCTAAGTCTGCGGACGGTGTTGGCTACTTTGTTGTTTTTCCTGACCACACTTATATGTGTCGCCTTCCTCCGGAGACTAGCATCTTCACAGCAGAACTTTATGCTATTCTCTATGCTCTTCGTCTCCTGCTTTCCCGGTGTCAATCCTCCTTTGTGGTTGTAGTTGACTCTCGTAGTGCCCTCATGGCTCTCGGGTCCTTTAATCCTGTCCATCCGGTGGTCGTCGAGATTCAACATTGGCTGTTTCTTATCTCTAGTAAATTTAAATCCGTGGAGTTTTGCTGAGTTCCCAGCCATGTTGGTGTTTCTTTCAATGAGCGTGCGGATGCTGCTGCTAGAGAAGCTATCCGCGCTTGTCCCGTCTCCCGTAAAGGTATTCCTTATTCCGACTTTTACCCGGTTATTCATTCCTCCATCCTTGCCCGATGGCAGGGTTGTTGGTCTTCTGATGTTGGTAACAAACTGCGTACTCTTAAGCGTAGTGTGTCCCCGTGGCCTTCCTCCTGCCACCGTAACCGACGGTGGGAAACGGCTCTGGTGAGGTTGCGTCTTGGCCATACAGGCTTAACTCATGGGCACTTAATGGAGCGCCGCCCTGCTCCTTATTGTCCAAGTTGCATTGTCCCTCTTACGGTCGTGCATATTCTTGTTGAAATTCCTGATTTCCAGGACGAGCGTGCTTTGCGACCGTCCCTCGCGGTCACCTGTCCCTCGATAGAATTCTTAGTGAATCGGATGCTTTTGATATCGTTCGCCTTATGCGTTTTTGTTCTTGTATTGGCATCCTTGGTGATATTTAGTGCCCTCTGATTATTTTGCACATTTGATGGTGCTACATAGCCTTCCCGGTTTGGTGCCTTCTTTTGATAATTACTTACTTGCTTCTTGTATGATCTGCGTTCGATACCCGATGGTTCAAACTCTTAGACACCTTTCCTCTGATCCTTCCTTTATTCCAGCTCTTAGTCTGCCCTATATCCTTCCTAATTGCTATTCATTCATTTTGGCTTTGCGTTTTCTCCTGACAATTGCCTTATCTTACAGGAAGTTAGAGAGTGATAGCAAAGGATCCATTATAACCCTATCCAGCTCGAGCAAATATAACTTTAATCAACCAGAGCTTGAAAGCACTGAATGTCCTAAGTTACATTTGAATGATAAGTTTCGAAGTGATAGTTAACTATTATTGATTAATCGTCCACCCCCCCACCCCCCCACCCTCCAATAAGGGCAAATTGATGACCAGCATCATCAACAGTGACTCATCGGGGAACCCCTGGATATTGTAGTCACTAAGGCAGGGCCCAACAACCAGAGCCCAACACCTTAAGCCTCCCGAGCCTGCAGGATGCCCACTACTACTACAAGGCAGGCACAGCATCTTAATTCCCCCCCCCCCCACCCCCAAACCCCCCTCCCTGGTTTTTCTAGTAAAATGACGGTGATATGACAGTGACATGACATATTTTGGAAATTGTTAACGCGTTGGATCGACGTTAACTGAACGTCCCTCGAGCGCTTTTCGACACCGGGTAAACATGATATTCTTCATGGCTCAAAGAATCACTGCAACATTCAACAATAATTCAACATTGCTTCTCAACATGGGAGGATATATATATGCACATACATATACATATGTTTGGGTATATCTACATACAGGAAGGGTATATATATGCACCTCGTTGGGCACGCTTCCGAGGAACCATTTTGGGTATAACAACGGGTCGAAGGGCATACTATTTGCTTATGCCCTGAAAGGGGTTTAAACCGTGTTTAGACATCATTCATGCCTTCCCAGTCAGAAATGAGAGCGGCGGACCTTATATCCGGTCAGACCAATCCTATAATCTCACAATCAATCGCATTGAAGTTGTGGTACGACTGCAATGCGCTAAATAATTACACACAATCGTAGCGGGAACAGTAGCACAATTCTCACGACTTCAGAATGAACCAATTTCAACACAGACCAGATGTTTACACTGTTATGGATGTTGTAGATGCTGTGGGTGTTGTAGATGTTGTAGATGCTGTGAATGTTGTGGAGGCTGTAGATGCTGTGGATGTTGTAGCTGTTGTGGATGTTGTAGATGCTGTGGATGTTGTGGAGGCTGTAGATGCTGTGGATGTTGTAGCTGTTGTGGATGTTGTAGATGCTGTGGATGTTGTGGAGGCTGTAGATGCTGTGGGTGTTGTAGATGCTGTGGATGTTGTAGATGCTGTGGATGTTGTGGAGGCTGTAGATGCTGTGGGTGTTGTAGATGCTGTGGATGTTGTAGATGCTGTGGATGTTGTAGATGCTGTAGATGTTGTAGATGCTGTGGATGTTGTAGAAGTTGAGGATGTTGTAGATACTGTGGATGTTGTAGATGCTGTGGATGTTGTAGATGCTGTGGATGTTGTAGATGCTGTGGATGTTGTAGATGCTGTGGATGTTGTAGAAGTTGAGGATGGTGTAGATGCTGTGGATGTTGTGGAGGCTGTGGATGTTGTAGCTATTGTGGATGTTGTAGATGCTGTGGATGTTGTAGATGCTGTGGATGTTGTAGAGGCTGTGGATGTTGTAGATGCTGTGGATGTTGTGGAGGCTGTGGATGTTGTAGCTATTGTGGATGTTGTAGATGCTGTGGATGTTGTGGATGGTGTGGATGTTGTGGATGTTGTTGTTGTTGTAAGAGGAACCATTAAGATGGGACAATGTTGCAAGGTAAAACTCCAAAAGATATTGTTTAAGATGCAGATTATTCTCCAGTATACACAATACTGACGTCTCCTGGACCATGAATTTACAGCAAATAGAAAATTTATCTCCAACAATAAAGATATTTTTTACGACACTAAAACTCCTCCTCTTCGATAAATCTTTAAGGCGGTTCTGAATTGACGAGACATGATGCTATATTTACACACCCATTACCGCAGCCAGTCCTCATCAATAAAGGCTAAATGCTGGTTAATCCAACCGCCAACGTTTCTGCTTAGTAAATGTAAAACTCTTTTTACATGATTCACAGCTAACGATGTTCATTCATTTTGAACACACACAACGTCAAACTTCACGACTGTTCCCTTTGGGTCAACTGCGGCTGCTTGGATGGGCATAGCCTGATGGGCCTTGTGTCGGTCTGTATATAGCAACGGGCCCGTTTCTTGCGGGTCTGCGTTCGATCCTCGATGGTTCAAGGGGTTGGGTATGGTTCTATCCCTTGTAATGCTTTGGGGGCAATATTTTGAATTGACGTTTTATGATAATGGCATTCGTGACTAATAAGAAGTAATATATTGACGTCATCTGATCAATTGGGCTGTGATTCGTTCATCAGACTACGAGCAGCGGCGTCTAGGAGACGTGTTGATCAGACTATGAACCAAAACGTTCTGGTCCGAGATCGAGCCTCGGGGACGTTGCTCCTCAGGACGACCTTTAGGTAATGTCAAGCTGTTTGACATGACTGACATGGAAGATGTGACGTGTTGTCATCACTTGTGGAAAGCTGTTTTTTAAGAGAAGAATTATACTGATGTTAACTGCTGAGAGCTTTGCTGATTTACAGGAGAAAGTCTATTTTTGTAACTGCGAAATCTGTCTATATATATATATATATATATATATATATATATATATATATATATATATATATATATATATATATATATATATATATATATATTATTAAATATGACCGAAAAAGTAAGATTAATAATTCTAACACGAATTTTCTCAATCTTTCTTACATTTCTTTTCACTTTTGGAGGTAAATCAAAAATCAATTCTCCAAAATTCATTTTTATTTCTAGTCTGACGCGACACGAGCGCGTTTCGTAAAACTTATTACATTTTCAAAGACTTTAGTTTACAAATACACAACTGAATAGAACTTACACATCTCCGATTTTATATCTACATTTGAGTGAGGTGGATGGGGTGAGGTGGCATTAATAGGGTATTAATTTCATCAACACAAGACAGAACAAGAGGTGGCATTAATATGCATAAGCAACAGGGCTCCATTAAGGAACATATAATCTCTTCCCACAACCAAACCATCGCCAGAGAAATCCTAGTAAACAACACAGAAATCATCGATAGATACAGCGATAGCAGGCGGCTTGACGTTTGCGAGGCACTACACATCAAGAAGTCAACACCAGCAATCAACAGCCAATTAATGCACAACTATATTCTACCCACCTCAAGACTCCGCTCCAATATAGAAGCATCAAGAAATATGGACCAATAGGCTTTCTACAAACACTTCTATTCAATACCCATTGTTTCGTGTTCTGTCTTGTGTTGATGAAATTAATACCCTATTAATGCCACCTCTTGTTCTGTCTTGTGTTGATGAAATTAATACCCTATTAATGCCACCTCACCCCATCCACCTCACTCAAATGTAGATATAAAATCGGAGATGCGTAAGTTCTATTCATTTGTGTATTTGTAAACTAAAGTCTTTGAAAATGTAATAAGTTTTACGAAACGCGCTCGTGTCGCGTCAGACTAGAAATGAAAATAAATTTTGGAGAATTGATTTTTGATTTACCTCCAACAGTGAAAAGAAATGAACGAAAGATTGAGAAAATTCGTGTTAGAATTATTAATCTTACTTTTTCGGTCATATTTAATAATATATGTCTACAGGAAAGACTGCTACCAAAATATACTAATATATATATATATATATATATATATATATATATATATATATATATATATATATATATATATATATATATATATGTCGTACCTAGTAGCCAGAACTCACTTCTCAGCCTACTATGCAAGGCCCAATTTGCCTAATAAGCCAAGTTTTCATGAATTAATTGTTTTTCGACTACCTAACCTTCCTAACCTAACCTAACCTAACTTTTTCGGCTACCTAACCTAACCTAAGCTATAAAGATAGGTTAGGTTAGGCTAGGTAGGGTTGGTTAGGTTCGGTCATATATATACGTTAATTTTAACTCCAATAAAAAAAAATGACCTCATACATAATGAAATGGGTAGCTTTATCATTTCATAAGAAAAAAATTAGAGAAAATATATTAATTCAGGAAAACTTGGCTTATTAGGCAAATCGGGCCCTGCATAGTAGGCTGAGAAGTGCGTTCTGGCTACTAGGTACGACATATATATATATATAAATGTAAATGTTCGTTTGTTCAAAATCGCTAATATTCGAACGTTCTTTGAGCCAACCTTTAATTTGTATCCGAACGGGTTTTTATATACATACTATATAGGTATCACGTCTGGGACGGGAAAAAACACCCTTTTTTGAAAAACTGTGTTTTCATGTGAGGGAAAGCTTCGAAACCATTTTACCAATTGCTTTTAAATTTTAACACAACGTTGCATTCAAATAGACGCGTGTTTTTATTTAGCTACTATATTTATGCCTCACCTGTGAAAGGGAAAAAAATGTTTTTTTTTTTTTTTTTTTTTAAATAGCGCCATCTGTTGGATGTAAGAGCAACATTCACTACACTAAATATGTTACGAATCCATTTCAATGTTTCCGATTTCATTGATACATTGAATATTCATAAATTTCGGTTTATTTCCATTTTGATTTAATTATTTTGTGTGACATTGTGTTGGAATTGAGCTGTGTTGTTTACCATACCATTCATTTCGTGAGTATAGTTTATTTTTTATTATTTCATTGTTATTCATTTCGTTTTTTAAACAGTTTTTCTTATTTTTCAGTGATGGGAACATCAGATCGTTTGATGTTCCCAATTTTTTGATGGGAACATCAAATCATTTAGGAATGCATTGTACTAGGGAGTGGGGAATGGAGGGGAGGACAAGGGGAGAAGGGAGGGTTAATGGCGGGGAGACGAGGGGACGTGGGAGTGGGGGAGGACGAGGGGACGGGGAAGGAAGGAATGGTGGGGAGGACTGGAAGACTGGGGAAGGTTGCTGACGCTCAGCAACTAATATATATATATATATATATATATATATATATATATATATATATATATATATATATATATATATATATATATATATATATATATGTCGTACCTAGTAGCCAGAACGCACTTTTTGGCCTAATATGCAAGGCCCGATTTGCCTAATAAGCCAAGTTTTCCTGAATTAATATATTTTCTCTAATTTTTTTCTTATGAAATGATAAAGCTACCCATTTCATTATGTATGAGGTCAATTTTTTTTATTGGAGTTTAAATTAACGTAGATATATGACCAAACCTAACCAACCCTACCTAACCTAACCTAACCTATCTCTATAGGTTAGGTTAGGTTAGGTGGCGGAAAAAGTTAGGTTAGGTTAGGTTAGGTAGGTTAGGTAGTCGAAAAACAATTCATGAAAACTTGGCTTATTAGGCAAATCGGCCCTTGCATAGTAGGCTGAGAAGTGCGTTCTGGCTATTAGGTACGACATATATATATATATATATATATATATATATATATATATATATATATATATATATATATATATATATATATATATATAACAACTACTATACTATAACAACTTTTTTGTTATATATATATAACAAAAAAGACTAATGATCCTGACGTTATAATAGATCGTAAGATTACGGAAGAGCACCAACGAAATATTACAGAAACCAATGAATGATGTAATATGAAGTATTGTGAGAAACGAAGTGTTTTGAGTGATGTCTCAACAACGAGAGACTTCACTCAGGAAAGTTTGTAAGAGTGAAGCTCACAGGTCTGGGGGATAGTCGTCAAGTTTGCCGGTGTCGTGGGGAGTTATGTTTTGGAGGCGACAGGAAGGGGGAATATTGGTATCGAGCAAAAGTAATCTTTTATGATTACTTTTTTGGTAAGACAGGGGTGGGTAAAGGGCTTACGCCTCTTATGTGGTGCTAGTACACACACACACACACACACACACACACACACACACACACACACACACACACACACACATGTAATTGTATATATGTTGATTGACGGTTGAGAGGCGGGGGCCAAAGAGCCAGAGCTCAACCCCCGCAAACACAACTAGGTGAGCACAACTAGGTGAGTACACACACACACACACACACACACACACACACACACACACGCACGCACACACGCACACACACACACACACACACACACACACACACACACACACACACACACACACACATCTCACATCGGCATCTAGAAGAAAAAGGGGGGAAGACAAGCCCAAACCCTACACACCTGTAACCCTAACAAGTATCCCCTGCAAGTTGCTAGATAAACTGATCCGAAGCAGTCGAGTAGAACATGTAGAACACATTTTTTGTCTCAAGACACCAGCATGGACTCGGTAAAGGAAAATCTTACTTGGCAAACTTTCTGGAGTTCTACATCAGATGACATAGATCAAACAAGAGAGAGAGAGAGAGAGAAGGATAAGGCAGACTGCATATTCCTCGACTCTCAGAAAGCCTTTGATACTGTACGACACAACATAGTATCCCCTGGAATTTTTTTCTGAGAATTTCTAAACCTACAAAGTGAACTTACCCATAGACTTTGTCATTGCATAGATCTTAGTGAAAAAAAAATTAAGATCTCTACGTTGACCTTAAGAACGTAGAGGGTAGATAGGCCTATAATTCATGACGTTCTGCGTTTAAGAAATCATCACTCAGTTGCGTTACACATGAGTAACCAAAGAATATTTTGATATTCATCAAAATAATGTGTTAACTGATAAAACAATATTAAGAAGACAACCATTGCCTCGCGAGTAACCTAACTGTATTCCTCGATACAATATT